CCTGCACTCACCTCCCACCTGGGAAGAACCAGAACAACAAAGGAAGGACTGAGTTTCCAGGAGGTTGTCAGAAGGAAACATCAGGAACTCCATCCACACAGCACACAGACTCTGATAGACAACGGAAGGAGAGCAGCAAAGCACATGGCAGTTTCTAGCCTGGCTTCCTGGCCAGCGGAGGGAGATGGGGGCGGGCAGTATTTTGCCAGGAACAGGTGAGCAGAAAGCTCTGTAAGCACCACTATTAACGCAAACCAGTAGTCCACCAGCAGGGAATTCCCCAGTTTCTATTGCCTTGAACAGCAGTTAGAGAACTAAATGTTGTCCTAGTGACTACTTGGGGTGCCTAGAAAAGGCATGGCCTTGCTTTGCTCCCAGGGTCCCAGCTTCAGGTTGCTTCCATATAGCTGCTGCTAAGATCCATTTTATCTGAGACAATGGGAAGAATTCCATTGACATAAGAGAAACCGCTGCTTCCACCAGCCCCTCAAAACTAGAGCCAACACACTTCATAGAGAACAGCCCCCTCTGGATCCTGCCCCGTTGGGGTTCCTGACCACTGATCCTGGAGCCACTGTCACTTGCTCTGAAGGATCTAAGAGAAGGGCCCTCCTTCTGGAGCTTGGCACTGGAGAACTAAACCCGAGCAAGCTCTGGATGTCTTCTCACAGGTGCCTGGGTGGCTAGAACTGCAACCTCAGCAACACCTGTAGAACTCAGGGCAGCCCCTCTGTGTCCTGCAGCTTTGGGACTGTGGCTGTGGAGGCTATGATCTCACTGTGGAAGGCTGGCTCTGTTTCAGACTGATGGCTGCCAGTCCATAACTGAAGCTCATCCAATGAGATCTGGATTAGAGCTGCATCTTGTCTTAATTTCTCTTACGTCCATCTGAAGCTCCAGGACTATGACTGTTGACTCCATAAATCCTGAGAACACCCACGCTTGTGCCGTGGGACCTGAAGTAAGCTCTATCTCCAATTACACTGCTTCTGGTCCTTGGTTGCCAGAACATAACCCTCACATAACTTAGGCTTTTCCTGCTGTTTCAGGACTGTGTCTATTGGTAAAAGGCCTTCAGTCACTGGAGCTCACACTGCAGGACAGAGGGAAAACCCTACCTACGTTTCACTGGCCCAGGCTCACATTTGCCAGTGCACAATGCCTAGCCTACCTCTATGTACCTCACGAAGACGTACATAGTCTTGGTACTGGGATGGGGCCTTTAGTGCTATGCATCTCAGTACCAACCAAGTCCACACAGCAAAGCCCACGAGAGGATCCATCCACATCACAACTCCAGGGCCACAGCCATTGGTTTCATGACCTCCAGCATCACACAGGCTTGCCTACAGTGGCAAAGGGATGGTTTCCTCTGGGTCCCACAGCACCAAGAACTGGACAATTGCCATCAACAACCCTGCTGTAGTTGACACACACTTTCTGGGGTCTGAAGACACAGATACCTTTGGAAATTCACATCCACTTCAAAGATACACTACTACTTTTATAAACTGCTGCAAGCTAGACAACTGTGGCACTCGTACGCAATGCTGGCAGTGGCCGGAATCGAGTCTTACACAGCAGGACTCATCTGTAACTAATGCCAAAGCATCCACATTACAACTGACACAAGTTGACACCACACATTCCATCTCAACTATTCCGATGAAACTTACTCCATTAAAGGAGAAGGAGCTGTTATTCTGGATGCACAGGCATCAATACAGGGACACACAGAACATGAAGAATCCAGGAAGCACCATACCTCCAAAAGAACATAGTAGTTCTCCAAAGACAGATCCTGATGTGAAGGATATCTATGAAATTTTGTTCAAAAATAATTATCCTAAGGAACTACAGAGGCAGGAGAACCCAGACAATTCAATGAGGAAAAGAAAACATGATCTAAATGAAAAACTAAAGAAATAGATGCTATTCATGAACTGGAAATTTTGAAAAGGAAAGTTTCCCCAGCAATGAGACAAAACAAAAAAATTCATGAAGTAACAAATACCACCGGCAGTTTCAACAACAGAAAAGGCTGAATAGAAGAAAGAATTCCTCATTTGGAAGAGATGACTTTTGAAAAGAGTTGTTTTCTTTATTTGAAAAACAGAATGACAAAGAAGAAGAGACAGAGACGGCGACCTTCCATGTACTGGTCCATTCTGCAGATGGCTGTGATGGCCAGGCCCAGGCCTGGATGAAGCCAGTACCCTGGAGCTTCATCGAGCTCTTGCACGTGGGTGGCAGGGACCCAAATACTCGAACTATCATCTGGTACTTCCTCAGGCACAATAGCAAGGAACTGGATGCAAAGTGGAGCAGCTAGACTCAAACTGGCACTCCAACATGGCGTGTCAGCATTCCAGACTGTGGCTTACCGCCCCGTGTCACCGTGCTAGAAGACATTTGCAATAACTTTGTCAGACAAAAATATCGTGAAAAAGAAGAAACAGATATTTGTACTACAGGGATATCTACAAAAGAAGAAGATGAAGGGATTGAGGCCGATGGACTAAAATAATAGTTGGAAAATTTTCAGGTCTTGAAAGAGATGTGGACAGATTCAACCAGACTCAATGAAAAAAGGCCTTGGCTGCCAAGGTATATTGTAGCAAAACTGTCAAAAATTAAGGATAAGGAAAGATTCCTAAAGCTAGTGAATGAAAATGTCCAATTACATGTGAAGGAAAACCCATTAGACTAACAGCAGACTTCGCAGAAGAAACTCTGAACGCTAGAAGAGAGTGTGATGTTTGAGACTTCCTCTCTCACTCTGTGTGTGTGTGTGTGTGTGTGTGTGTGTGTGTGTGTGTGTGTGTGTGCAATAGAATGAGGCATGTGTTGCAGGGGGTGGGGGGGGACGGGACTCTAAGGACATCTGTATCTAAGTGTGCAAAATAAAACCTTTTTGCTGACTTTTAATTGTTCAGAAGAAAAAAGAGCCTGTCAAGAAACCACATAAACGAGAGAGGGCACTTTGACTCAGAGAGGAATTAGGAATGAATAATAAATAAAGAACATCACTTTCCTAAGGAAAACATTTAAAAGCACAGACAAAATTACTTAGCAGAGAAATATTAAGGGGCAGCCTGACAGTGATGAAGATGTTATGAGGGCCTGGCAACGTGGCCTAGCAGCTAAAGTCCTTGCCTTGAACAAGCCGGGATCCCATATGGACGCCGGTTCTAATCCTGGCAGCTCCACTTCCCTTCCAGCTCCCTGCCTGTGGCCTGGGAAAGCAGTCGAGGACGGCCCAATGCTTTGGGACCCTGCACCCGTGTGGGATACCCAGAAGAGGCTCCTGGCTTCAGATTGGCATAGCATCGGCCATTGCGCTCACTTGGGGAGTGAATCATCGGACGGAGGATCTTCCTCTCTGTCTCTCCTCCTCTCTGTATATTTGACTTTCCAATAAATAAATAAATCTTTAAAAAAAGATGTTATGAATATTTATGGTCACTGAAAGACAGAGGTGTTAAGAAAATGCATTCTGAGTAAGACGCTGCAGGATAGGATTGAGTGGGGTTTGATGCTGTGGTTAAATTCACAATTACCTCTGCCTGCCTCGGTTCACGTTCCAGCTTCATCCGTGATTCCACCTTTGCTGCAGGTGATGGTTCTTACGTTTGGGTCCTTTGTGCTCACATTGGAGACCTTTTACTGGGTTTTCAACTCCCAGTTTGCACTGGATCCATTCACGCCACTGTGAGCATTGAAGGAATGAATCAACGTATGAGTTCCACCTCTCTAATTTTCTCTTTCCAAAATAAGTGGATTTACCTATTAAGTAATTTTAAAAAAGAGGAAATTTAAAGGCTCACTGGAGTAGCCTAGCAGCTAAAGCTCTCGCCTTGCATCTGCCGGGATCACATATGGGCATAGGTTCCTGTCCCAGCAGCTCCACTTCCCATCCAGTTTCCTGCTTGTGACCCGGGAAAGCAGTCGAGATGGCCCAAAGCCTTGAGATCTTGCACCTGTGTGGAAGACAGGGAAGAAGCTCCTGTCTCTTGGCAGAAGATCTCTCTCTGTGTTTCTCCTTCTCTCTGTAAATCTGACTTTCCAGCAAAATAAGATAAATCTTTAAAAAAAAAAGAGTAAAGTTAAAAGAGTCTCAAAATTTAACAGAAACCAAGGCTTCTTGATTATCATAAAGAAAGCAAGATTGTATATAAAATGCAAGTACGACAGATCAAGTAGCTACAAGCACAAGTAATGCCTACATCTTTATTTCTAAACACTGTTTTCTAGATACCTCAGAGAAATAGCTGATTCTGTGGCTGCAGATGGATAAACATGAATCAGCCCAGAGTATGTTGTAGAAAATAGGGGAATGTGTGCATGGATACATGTGTGGGTACACACACACACACAGAATGATTTATTTATTTGAAAGGCAGAATAGAAAAGAGAGAGAGAGTGAGTGCAACAACCCAGGCCTGAAGCCAGGACACAGGACTCCCATCTGGGTGGCTCGAATCAAAGTGCTTGAGAGCCATCACCTGCTGACCGGAAGCGTGAGTAGGACGCACCGAGAACAACAGGGGCTCTAGCTGGTGCTGTGACATGGAACCTAGCACCAAGACTCAACCTGCTGTACTGCTACGCTGACTCCAAGACTGAGGCAGTCTGAACAGCAAAGCAAACATTGCAGCTTCGGCTTATAACCTGAGGTATGAGATAACGCTACATGCATGCATTGTGATGTAAATGAATGAGTAAATGAATAAACAAATCATTGGGGAGAGCAAACACATCTTGTATACAGAGGCATTCCATGTAAAATACATACATACTCCAGTATCTATTTTTCTTTTATTATATATATGTTCAAGAAATACATTTTATTCCTTCAAATTTGAAGTAACTCTGGAATAATCAAATACAAACATTCTCCAAGTTCAATGATAAACCATTGGTTTACAACTGAGATTTTATTGAATCAGTACACGGACATTTCAATTTGTATACAGTACTTAACATACGGACCACGAGTAACACGCCGTGGATTGTCATTTTTGAAGCTATTCCAGTGACTTTCCAGCTTTGAATTTGGAGGCAGCCCTTCTGGAAGACGCTACCAAGTACCAGTGTCTGCAGTTGCTGTCACGTGAATCCCACCCACTCACGACGGAACATCACATACGCGACACGCAAGTCTTTAGTCTCTCACAGTACGTTAAGGATTAGGAATCCTGGACTCCCCAGCCAAAGGGGTAACAGGGTGTGCACGGTTCTGACAGAGCAACAAGGAGTGGTTCATTGTAGGAAACAGCTCTACTGACCAACACGGGAGAAGCAACTGAAAATTTCCAAGACAGATGCAATGCACAATTGTGACTCCGAATTGCCATTTGGTGTGCAGTGTGTTGCAGGATATAAAAGCCACCCACCTGTGGCATGTGAACCTGACACCCAGACAGGCAGAGCCTCTCCTAGTTCAATATCCCACTATTTTCTGGTTGGACCAAAAAATAAACAACCAGCAATGATTTCACCTCTCAAAAAAAATCATTTACACTTAAAAAAAATGGGATGAGGTGGGCTTCCCTCATTCTTAAAAATGTTTCTAGAGCTACTAAAAAACCTGCATTTACAAAATAGTTGATAAAAATCTTCCTCTGGATTGTACAAGAAGGGAGACAGGGAGCACTGATAAGACCTGGTGTGTGGCGTTAATCGGACTTGGCTTCCTTCTCCTCGGCTTCGTCAGAGGCGGGACTCTCCTCGTTTTTAGTGTCTCCGTTTTCCGTGTGCACGTCCTCCTTGGTTTCCTGGTTGGCCAGCTCGGCCTGCTTGCCCTTTGCCCTTCTCCTGCCCTTGGCCGGCACCTTCTTGTCCGACGACTTCTCCTTGCCAGCTGCCTTCTTGTGCTTCGCGTCCACCTTTGCAGGAGCCGGTTCAGCCCACAACCTGGCCGCTCTCCTCTTGGGCTCCTCCTTGGCCGCCCCTTCTGCAGAGCTGACCTTCCTCTTGGGCATCTTGGCGGAGGGAAGCGCGCCTGGCGCGCCCAGAGCCCTCACGGAGCCGGGTTGGCCTGGCCGCTGCCGCTCCTCCTGCCGCCCGAGCTGCTGGGACCAGCCTCAAGTATCTATTTTTCAAATAAATATTTATTATTTAGTTTTTATTGGAAAATCAGATATACAGAGAGGAGGAGAAACAGAGAGGAAGATCTTCCATCCACTGATTCACTCTCCAAGTGGCCGCGACGGCCGGAGCTGAGCCCATTCCAAAGCCAGGAGCCTGGAGCTTCTTCCGGGTCTCCCACATGGGTGCAGGATCCCAAGGCTTTGGGCTGTCCTCGACTGCTTTCGCAGGCCACAAGCAGGGAGCTGGAAGGGAAGTGGGGCTGCAGAGACATGAACCGGTGCCCATATGGGATCTAGGCAATGTGCTAGGTAAGGACTTTAGCACTAGGTTACCGGGGTGGGACCGATACTCAAATGGAAAACGATTGCCATCCATCGTCCCTTGAGATATGTGGGCCAGATTTAATAACTCACTTTTGAATATGAGAGTGAGGAAAGGCGAGTAATTTTACCTTGGAGAAGTTTTGCAAATGCCACCTTTTATAACTTCTGACTCTTCCTTAGTGCGATCTATTTATGAGACATTGCCATTCTGCTTTCTTTAAATTCGTTGCCTTTTAAAAATTTCATTTATTTATTTTTAAAATATATATATTTTTTTTTTGAAATGTAGACCTCCAGAGAGATGGAGAGACAGAAAGCTCTTCCATCTGCTGGCTATAACAGCTGGAGCTGAGCCAATGCAAAGGCAGGAATCAGGAGCTTCTTCCGGATCTCCCATGTGGGTACGGAGCCCAAGGACGGAGGCTCATCTCTGCTGCTTTGCTAGACCATAAGCAGAGAGCCAGATGGGAGGTGGAGCAGCCAGAACAAGAAGTGGCACCCTGGGATCCTGGCAATTGGACACGGAGGAATAGCCAATGGAGTCATTGTACTGGCCTCCTCATTTAATTTTTTTTTGTACCTGGATGAAAAGCGAGTAAGTTAAAAGTTCACAAAACATATTATACTTACTGAATTTCATCTATTTTTTTTTTCAATCTGCTGCTCAGATGGCTGCAAGGCTTTGGCAAGTTTTCAGGATTCCAAAAAATTGTTTCGGATTATTTTTCTCGTGTTTTTATTGTGCTGTGGCTTTCAGAAGCGCTGCATGCCAGCCATCCCGGCGGAGACACCCCCCTCCCCTTTTTCTGACCTTTGAAGGCAATCACAGGCGAAAAGAGACAAATGCATCTCCAAAAGGTGGCTAGCAATGGGGGCACTGCTTCTTACAAAATGGATTTTCAATAGAATTTTTTAAAATATAATTTTTCTTGCTGTGGGATATCAGCCGTGCACATCTCACACAGCCAGATTATTTTATAATCGCGTCTCAAGGCTTATGAACATGAGTTTTAGTTTTAACAAGAGCACGTCTCATGACTGAGCCCATGACTTTGATTTCTGAGGAGAACCAAAGCTAGCGCGTGGTGATGCACCTTAACTGCCTTGTTTTTAAAGGGCGCCTTTCCGAAGACACTAAAAATAATTTTCTTCCTGGAAAATTCCCTGAAACCTACACAGGCGTTGTCATCACAGCATTTTATTTTTGATGGTAAACAAACTGAATCATTAAATTTCATGGTTCAGGCCAGAGTCATTTATAACCAATGGTCACAAGAGTCATAATTCCTTAAGCCTTTGTTCATTCCACTTGATTTAGGTGGGTGAACAGAAAAGGATTTAGTAAGAGACAAAATTGGACCACATATTTTGCTGTTCTTACAGGAGTACAGCAGAGGAGACCAGCGGCTCCACTGGCTCCAGTGGGTCCTGTGTTTTAAAAATCTTCTAACCTATTTTGTTGTTTCTTCCTTCCAATACTGTTCAGAAGATGCTGTACAGGGAAAAGCTGTTTAACTTCTGGAGTAAAACTCTACTGAATATTTACAAATCTACTCTTGACTGAAATCATACTTAAAATATCAATTTTCAGCTGGCAGGCCAAATACAAAGTTCTATTTTTTTTCAAATGTGCAACTGAAATTGTGATGATAGTTTTACATTTCTTTAATCTACATGTTTCTTTTTTGCAGATTGGTCCTGTTTAGATCCACAAACCCAGAACACTAATTTTATTTTAATTTCATTGCTCTTTTCTCCTGAAAACTGCAAATTAAGTCCTTTTATTTTATTCCAGAAAGCAGGCTTGCTTTCTGTCCTCCGTTCTTGGTTTCTCCAAAAATTGTGCCTTTGTGAAGAAGTGAACAATAGCAAACCACTGGTAACCTGTTTCTGGTTTAAGTCCTATATTTAACCAGCATGTTGTTTAATCAGAAACATAATCTCATCTATTGGGTAACCAACTTTTGTTTATTGTATCTGAGAATAACATAGCTTCATATTCACCAAAACATTCTCATATAGCTTCCCATACATGATAGATTTCTTTTTAGTACAAAACAGGACACACCAAAATTACATCATTTGATAAACTGTACAAGTAGATAATTGAAAGTTTAATCACTATTTTATTTTTATCATTCTACAGAAGGTTTTTAGTGTGGGTTCTTTTTCTATATTTTTTCCCCATTTTCTTTGAAGCACAGAATTCTTCATGGTTCTTAAATCTACATTTTGGAGAAGACTAAGATGATTGGCTACTGTGTTTCAGACCTGAATACTTTGTGGGTTGTCTCTAGTTGCACTGTTTTGTAAACAAATTCCAAAGTAAATAAAAATGTTGAAAAATTGGGATGAAGCGATAGGAGCCTACTCAATGCAGTGGTTCCTCGACAAACTTGACTCCTGAATTTCTCTGGGTCTCACCTCTCTTACTTTTTAATCCCTTGGTGGATGGATTCAGAGTTCGAGCTTGTAGATGGGGATGATTTACAGTGTTTTCCATGACATGGTTGCTGTCCTGAGATTGGTAATCAGTTGATCTGAGGTTTCATCTTAGAAACCTAAGACTAGTCAGTTGCTTGTGTGTGTATAGTACTCATCTACTTTAATTTATTTGAAAGGGAGAGCTCCACAAATGGCAGCAACAACCACAGCTGAGCCAGGCCTGGACCAGGAGCCAAGAATTCCAATTAGGTCTCCTGTGTGAGTTGCAGGAACCCAGCACTTGAGCCAACGCCTGCTGCCCCTCCGGGAGCACGTTAGCAAGAAGCTGGATAGGAAGTGGAGGCAGGAGCTGATCTCAGAATGAGGGATGTCTTTATTTCAAATTCAGGTTGAACTCACTGAAACACATATGCCTGCCCCTCTCTTAATCTTTTGGGCTTGAGTTTCCATCTGCATAGTGAGACAGAGAGAAAGAGAAACTTTCATCAGCTGGTTCACTTCCCGGGTAGCTGTGATCACCAGTACTGAATCCAGATCTACATGGATGGCTGGAGCCCAAATACCTGAACCAACTTCTGTTGAGCTTCTCGGGCTATTACCAAAGAGATAAATGGGAAATAGATCACCTGGGATATGAACTGGTAGCTACATGGGATGCTTGTTGCAGGCAGTGGATTTATCCACTGTCCTGCAATGCTGGCCCCAAAGTTTATTTAATCTTTACAACAATCATCCAAGGTATGTATTAGAGAAATGAGATACAGAAGGATTAAATAACCAACTCACGATCACCCTGATACAACTAGAGAAAGAGAAACTATGTGACTCAAACCCAAGCATTGTTGGTGTCAATGTTCTTAACCACCGCACAATACCACCTTTCACATATGAATCCTTTGTTCCACCTTAATGTAGCATCAAGCTATTGTCTCTTATTATTTGCCTTTTGCTATAAAAGTCTGTGGAATATTTTCCCCCTTTCTGCTACGTACTCATTCTTCAACCTCGTGACCTGGCTCTCATCACCATCTTTTTTAGGAGTATACCTCTTAGTTAAATATTGTTTTTGCCACATCCCTTGCTGTCTTTTCTCATCAGAAGAAGTCAAAATCCTCTGTTTTGTTTTTACATTGAGATCTGCTCTTTTGACCTTGAAATCTTGGTTGATTTGGTTTTGTCTATAGAATTACAAATTGAATTTATGCTTATTTAAATGTGAATTTACCCATGATGGTTGTGTTACCCATTATACAAAAAGTCTTCTTTCTCTACAATCCTGTAACGTGATCCAGATTTCTTTGATAACATCTATTTTGAACCATACGTTGTAATGATGCTGGCATGGATTGAATTCCCATTGTGAGCAAAATGAATAAGCTGTAATTTCAGCTTAGAAGAAATTTATGTACACATATATGGAACACTATATATTGTACATATTTACATATGTGTACTATACTATGTATATATTTGCACTCATACAGACACACATTCATGTAGAATGCTACTCAGTCAGACAAAAAAATTAAAATCCTGCAATTTGCAGCAATCATCTTGGAAGACATTGGGTTAAGTTAAATCCAGCATAGAAAGACAAATATCATGTGATTCTATTCATATGTGGGATTTAAAAACAGCTGATCTCCTAGAAGAACAGAATGGAATAATGGTTACCAAAGGTTGGGCCAGGGGTGCTGAGGGTGAGGTAATGATGTGGAGATATTGACCAATGGGTGAAAAATTGCAGTTAGAAAGGGAAAGTACATTCTGTGCCACAGTGGGATGGTTATCATTCACAATACTATAAAATATATTTCCAAATAACTGAAAGAGAACATTTAGAAATGACACGCATATGAAGCGATGGATAATGCTAATTTTCCTGATTTAATCACCCACCATATACATGTACCGAAACATCACATTGCACTCCATAAATATGCACAATTATTATGTGAAAATTAAAAACAGAAGAAATTTTCAGAAAGAAGTTTTGAGGGTGGTAGAGAAGATAATGAGAAGAGATCGTTTCAAATAATCATGGAAAGTACATATTATGAAAAAAAATGCAGCTTGGGGTTTATAAAATGTTTGTACCAAAATGAACTTCTAATTCCATGTTC